AAAAACAGGGTCTTTCTACACTACTCATCACATGCATGCACGAAGGACAGAAAATCTGTCTGCGCATCTTCCCATATTTTCTAGCCAAAGATTCATCCTCCTCTTGCACATTTGATGAGCAGTGGAGCGAGGCCCTCGCTGGCGTGGTTATAACTTATAGAAAGCAACTGAGAGTCAGAGACAACAAGGATGGTAACATCAATAAAGAGCAAAGTTTAACAAACAGAGAGCCTGAGAGAGGTCACAAAAACGAGTTATAATTGCACTATGGGCAAGATACAGTTTGCAATTGCCCTTCCGGGACCCTACCTGGCCAGAAAGCTCTACCTGGGCAGAAAGCTGGGTTGAATACGTTGCGGCAACTGCAACTATAACTCGTTTTTGTGACTCCTGCGTAGTTTCCCCTTTTTTTTTCTTGGAAGTTTCTGCCTCTTCATTCTCTGAGGAGATGCCCAATCCATCATTCATTGCACTTAGTCTACCAGCTTCCTTCCTACCTGTATAGTCTGAGAGTACCTCCATTTGCCAGCATTGATTGCCCTGGAAACCAGGGGATTGACTGCGCAGATGGTGAAGGAAAAGAGGATGATATTGAGAATGACACCAACAATGTGTAGCTAGTGTCCCACCCCGGGTGGCGACAAAAGAAGCCTGCCCTGTTCCGTTCTGCATTTTATTTTTGTGAAAATATGGAAAAAAACTTTGAAGTTTGAACAGCATTTGTTTCTCTTTTTTTTGCATTTGTTTTGAGTTTTTTATTCACTAAAAGGGTGTCAGATTGTAGAGGTACCTCCACTCTACGGTGCATGTGATAGGAGCAGCCCCCAGTTGCACACGGCAGAATGACTCCTGTCTATTCATGGGAAGCAGCACTTGAAGAGGTCATTTTGCACATCGATTACAGGGCCATTGTTTCAAATGATAGGTCTTCGGTCGGACTACCCATCATCTTTTTTTCTTTTTTCTGGGTTGACAAACACGTGCCGTCTTCACCTGAATACAATGAACGGTTATCATAGCAGCTCTTTAGCCTAGTATTAGGGGCAACTTTGTGCCCAGACACAGCAATAATGACCGTACCGCGTACGTGTGTGTGTACGAGAGAGAGAGAGAGAGAGAGAGAGAGAGAGAGAGAGAGAGAGAGAGAGAGAGAGAGAGAGAGAGAGAGAGAGAGAGAGAGAG